GTCCTGAATAGTAAGCAGTAAAAGCTTGTGACTGATAATGTCCAATTCCAATCCATTTCAGTTCACTGATGCCAAAAGTATATACTCAATTAATTTCATCTTTCACTGTGTTGAACTTTCTCATGTGCATGCTTCCTACGTTACATGTTCCCACTATAATTCTGTCTTTGCAGCTTTGGATTTTCTTTTCTTGCATAGTAGTATCAGGCACTAGATGTCCTAAACTCTTTAATGAAGAGTTTACATGAAAAGCACCATCACAGAAAAATCCTCAGTTCATTCTTAGTACAGGTAGTCTTCAGGTTACGATGGCAATTGGGACTGGAATTTCTAATGCTAAGTGATGTGGTCATAAAGTGTGACGTCACATGACTGCATTGCTTAGTGATGGCAGTCCCGGTTGCAGTCGTAACCCCAGGGCTACACAGGTCATTAAGTGGGAGGAGGCGGAAGTCCCAGGCAAACAGGCCAGTGAGTGTGCTGGTACCACAGGGGGTGCTGCAGGCAGGTGTTCTAAAGTGGGTTTAGGGAGTGCCATGGGCAGGCACTCTGGAGTGCAGGCGGATGCCACAGAGGCAGGATGTGATGTGGGCAGGCACTACGGAGCATGGGCAGGGGCTGCAAGGGGAAGGGGATGCAGTGGACAGGCACTATGGAGTGCAGGCGGGTGCCGCTGGTAGGCACTGCTGAGCGCGGGAAGGCAAAAAAGTGGCAGGAGCAGGAGGGATGTCCAACTTCCTGCCAGCTTCCCCACTGACTTTGCTTGTGTGAAGCCATGAGGGAACATCAGAAATCGTGATCATGTGATCACAACTCGCTGCAATGATGTCAGGTAGTCCTCAGTTAATGATGGTAATTGTGACCAGAATTCCCAGGGCTAAATGATACGGTCGTAAAGCGACATCACGTGACTGCATCGCTTAGCAATGGCAATCCTGACACTCCCTGTTGCTGTCGTTAAGTGAGGATCACAGGTCATTAAGCAAGTCCCAGGCAGCTCACAAGCAAACTGGCAGGCAGGTAAGTGGCTGCTGCCTGGCAGGGGAGGGTGCACGGGTAACTGGCGAGGTGTGGCACAAGCGCAGTGGGGCCAGGGATTGCTGCTGCCGGACAAGGGAGGGTGTGCAGGTGGCCTGCAAGGCAGAGCACGAATGCAATGAGGCTGGGGGTGGCTGTTGCTGGGTGGAGGAGAGTGCAAGTGACTTACCAGAGCAACTTGCAACCTTCCCTACCAGCTCCCCTGTTGACTTTGTTTGTGGGAAGCCAACAGGGAAGGTCGCAAATGGCGATCACGATCAAATGCAAGTGGGACACTGCAACTGTTGTAAGTGCAAGCCGGTTGCCAAGCACCCAGATTGCGAACATGTGACTGTGGGGATGCTGGGATGGCTGGAACTTCAAGGACTGGTTGTAAGTACCACTCGTTCAGTTCCATCCTAGCTTTGAACAGTTGCTGAATGAGTGGTCATTAAACGAGGACTACCTATACCTTTGCCATGTCACTAAAGTGATCATCTGCCTCCAGCATTTTGCTCTATTGCTGCTGTTCAGTGCAGGTGCCTGTTTGCTTTAGCTGGGCAGCCAGGATGACCTTCAGGATTTGGGTGACGCTGTGATGACTATGTAAACAGAATTTTCCTTTCTGTTTATTTGCAACTTTGGAGGCTTGCGTATGGCCATGTACTAAGTAATTAACAGCATTGCTCTTTTGTTACTGAAAGCATAAGACAAAGAAATAATTGGACAGAATTTCTTTAAAGTGCAGTTTAGGAAGGCATGTTCAGAAACTGATAGCCACTACAACCACACAGAGGTGGTATTTTCATACAAAGCGTGTTACGCTCTATTTAATGCAAAGCAAAAACGTTCCACTTTATGTAGCTCTTTGGAAAAGATGAAGCCTATGTTTACAGCCTGGATTTTCCCCCTTTCATTTCTAAGGGAGTGGTTATACAATAAAGGGCTTTACTTTTAAAATTACACATTCAAGGCATCTAAATTGGCTTGCCAAATTATAGGACATCTTGATTATTGTGCTGATGCTCTGTAGATGAAAGATTCAGTTATCTTTAAACCCTTCAGAAAGGTGATCTTAATTATCATTAACTAGAGTTAATAAGGGTGCAATGAATTTAAGATTTGTAATGTATTCTTGTATATGTAAATAAAACAGAATAAAGAGAGGGAATTTAAATCTATGTTGAGAATAGTAGCTCTGGGATTACAGGAATATCTGCAATGTCATATAATATTAAAGTGGTGAGCTAAATAGGCAGCGTTAATTAGGGTTTGATTCTAAGCACGTTTACCAGGTGAAACAATGGGACATACTTCAGATCAGCATACATAGGATTGTTTGGATTTTACAGGATTGGTGTGTGTGTGTGGGGGGGGTGTGGGGGTGTTATTTCCAGGGGCTGTTTTCAGTCGTTCACTGTTTTTTTAAACAGCTTATTTGGAAAAGAAGTGTCAAGTGCTGCTAAATTTTTGCAGCCATAACTCCATCCATATGTCTTCAGAAAGTCATCCTTCTTTTGAACTTTTTGCAAGCAATTTATTTTCATTGGGGAAAAGCAAATCACCTGGGCAAAACTACACATCCCAGCAAGTTCATCTTTCTCAGTGTATCTCTGTTCGGTGTGGGAGGGTTTTCCATGAAGGAACTGCAGGGAAGACAGGGCTTAAGCAATTACAGATAACCTTCGCTTAGCAACCACAATTGGGGTCAGCAACTCTGTCATTAAAAAATGTGGTCGCTAAGCAAGACATCATGAGACCGTGATTTGTGATTTTACTGCTGGCTTCTCCATTGACTCTGCTTGTTGGAAGCCAGCTGTGAAGTGTGCAAATGGTGATCATGTGACTGCAGGCCACTGCAACGGTCGTAAATGCTCGCCAGTTGCAAGCACCCAAATCTCGATCACGTGACCGTGGGGACGCTGCAACGGTCGTGTGAGCAAGGATCAGTCATTAAGTTACTTTTTCAGTGCCATTGTAACTTTGAACAGTTGCTAAACAGGGCAGTCATTAAGCAAGGTTTACCTGTAACATGTTGGCTACTCTCCCCTGCAGAAATCCTAAATAGCATTTCTTCTGCAACTGAACTTTTCTGGTTGCAAAGCCTGGCTAAAGAAAAATAACTTTTATTGTTTAAGAAAAAGCAGCCAGAGTGATTTTTGTGAAGAACGGTTTGTGGAAGGTGGAAATTTAAGTGTTGCTCTGTTTTAGGCTGTCTACCCCTAAACAGGACAAAAGCCAATGTTGCAAGAACTTTTACACTGGGATTGTTTGTTGTTTGACTTGAAGAGTCACTTTTGATCAAGTGCCCTTTTGTCATTCATGTTGACTGCCCACCCTCACTATTTTTTCATGTCTATGCCTTAAAGAATTTCTGCTGCACATACATATATTAAGACAATTTCTGTTCTGTATTTATATACATAAAGCATTTCAAGGCTTTTACACATAATTTTTTGAATATCTGTTTATGTTACTTCTCTGGAATGCACCTGAGTCTCTAATAGCACTTTTGCCTATTTTATTGCTCTTGTCTGGTACAGACTTGGCCAAGCAATACTACATTTTCCTGGTATTTCTACCTGCTCTTCTGTTTCCGAATAATGCCTTTACCCTTTGAGCATAGTTATCAGCCTAGAGGTGAAGTTATGGCCTAGAAATGCAGCCGCATCCAAGATACTGCTTCCCCTGCTCCCTGAAAACATATCAAGTCAAGATCATAGATTCCTTCTTCATGCAACATTTGCAGTGTCCTTTTCTATAAAGGAATGTAGAGAAGACTTAGGGAAGGAATGGATGAACTGTTAAGAAAGGAGAAACAGCAGCTCAGTCCTAGGAAAGTGAAAAGCATGAGGAACAACTTAAAATAACTGCCTTGATTCTGTTGGGTATAAGATGGGGCAGACAGAAACTCTGACAGGCTTTCAAGATTCTGTTATTATATCCTACAGCAATAATGTCGCATTTGTAGAATCCTTGCAGTGTTTGTTTCCTGACCTTGAAGTGTTTGTTTCCTGACCTTGAATTTTCTGACATTTCTACTCCTTCACAGTGGTCTCTGGAAACATCACCAGGTTGATGAATAAAGTCGATGTTTTCCGTAGGGGCTTCATAGGGCAAGCCCACCATGAAGACAGCCCCCAAAAAGGAGTGAATACCAGGCATATCTAAACAAATAGACTGATTTTTAATTGTGTGTAATTTAAGATTGACTCATTACTTCTCACAGGCAAAGTGTGCAAGCAAATCAGCATTATATTGATTCAGTGACAGAGCTGAGGATTTTAGAGAACGAAGTTATGCTCTGCAGGCCACAGCAAAAAAGCGAGTTCTAGATGGTATCCTAAGGCCTGAAAAGTTATCTGAGAAGATGCCCAGAATCTGTGCAGCCCCACAGCTCCAGTTGTGGATAATGTCAAAAACCCCTTGCATTTGAGCACTTGAGCTGTGGCTGATGGGGATAGTCCTGCACATCTGGAGGATGCAGTGCTTCCTTGTTTGTTTGTTGTATGCATCAACTGTTTGGAAAGATTGAACATTTGGTTGTAAGTTACTGTGTGATTGCCACTGAGTCCCCTCAACAACTGGCTGGGTGTCCAATCTCTGTGTTGTATGAGTCTTTGTGTATTGTCAAAAAGACCTTGATAACTGGCATTTCCTTGGCAGTTTTAATATGTATTTCTAGGCTCTGCTTTCTAGTCAAAACTTTGTCAGCGAAGGCTTTGCCTCATGGCCTTCATTCCCATTTCCAGCTGCCTAATTCTTGCACAGGAGAGTTTAAAGCACTCTGGCCACTGTACAAATATGATTTAAAAACAGAGTCTGTATTGCTTTACTTCTCCTATTAATCGTAGCCTAAGTATCCACAGAGTATCCATGTAAATCTGAGCTAGAGCAGTAGCATATCAAGTGGGATGTAGACTCCTGTTGCTGTTGCCAAAATTCACCTGTTATTAAGCAACTTGTTTCTGCCGACTCATCAGGTTTTAGATTTGGGACGCCTGAAAGAATATGATGAGCCATACATTTTGCTGCAAGAAAAGGAGAGCCTGTTTTACAAGATGGTTCAACAAGTGGGTAAGGCTGAAGCTCTCTCCATCATAGAAACAGCCAAACAGGTAAGGCACGTCTTTTTCTCCGCCTGCCCTCCCCCCCCCCGCTTTTCCT